GTGTGTGTGTGTGTGTGTCTTTTTTGTCTTTTTCCGTGTCCGGCAATGGATCGCAACCCTCAGTGTTGCCCCCGCACCGGGCCGGGGACCGGCAACGGGATTGCAACCCTCAGCGTCGCCCCCATGCCTCGCTCAGCCAGTGAGCGGGAACCGGTCTGTATGTGGGATCCGAACCCTCGAGCAGGAGCGCCACCGCGCTTCCCAAGCGGCGCACTATCCAGTGCGCCACCGGGCCGGCCCTTTTCATGAACTTTTTGAAGTACCCTCATATGCACTTGTGTATATATGTACACACTCATGTGCATATTTACATATATATATAGAGAGAGAGAGAAAGAGCTTTTTTTCTGAACAACATACACTCATGTATATGTACATACACATATTCAGAGACAGCTTTATTTCCGAACCATTTGAGAATAAGTTGTAGACATTATGCCTTTTATTTCTAAGTCATTCAGAGTACATTTCTGAAGAATGGGACATATTCTTACGTAATCATGGCAATTATCAACATTAGGAGATTTAACACGAATGCCATTACTGTTATCACCTTCCACTTCTCAAGACTTTATTTTCCCTATATGCCTCCATAGACTTTTGGCTTGTTTCACATGTAGAACTTATAGTTTAAACCATAGTCAGCTTTCTCTAGTTCCCAAGGACTTTTAAGGAAAGAAGCCTTTTTCTCATTTACCCCCCCAAATTGATTCCTTATTCCTTCTGATGGCTGCCTTAAAAGTAGGAACCAAAAAAAAAAAAAAAAAAAAANTCAGCTTTCTCTAGTTCCCAAGGACTTTTAAGGAAAGAAGCCTTTTTCTCATTTACCTCACCAAATTGATTCCTTATTCCTTCTGATGGCTGCCTTAAATGTAGGAAAAAAAAAAAAAAAAAAAAAAATGCTGCGTTGCCTTCAGGAGAGCACACTGTTCCTTTGTATCATGAGAAGGCTACCCAAATAACTCCTAGCCAAGCATATTTCTGTTTGCAAAGTTTAAATTCTAAAAGAACAAATTCTAAATGTTTACTGAGAAATAGTTATTGAAAAAGTTAACTAAAATATGTAGTGCTCATTAATGAAAGTTTTATTTTTCTGCATTTTTTTTTAGCTAGTTTTAATGTACTAGGTACTTGTGATTCAGGATAGCTGCTTCCCAAATTACAGGGCATTTAAATAATTAGAACATAGTGCTCACTGTTCATGCCAGTAAAAACGAAAAGGATTCCAGCTTACATTTTTTTTTCCTATAAGCACACATTGAGCATGGACCATGTTCAAAGTATTTTAAATAAAATGCTTCCTTTTAAACAACTTCAGGAGTTGGGAACTGTTCACATCTTGTTTTCAGTTGAGATAGTTGGTGCTTAAAGAGATTAGTAGCTGTCCATAGTCACACAGCTGGTAGTGATAGAGCTGTAATTTGAACCCAGGACTCTGAACTCTTAACCATGGTGACCTTTCAGTTCCATTTTATTCTATGCTAGTATTTAAGCAGTTGAAAACATAAATGTGTTAATGATACACTAGCTAAAGACTTTTCTTTCCTCCTGCTAATTGCAAAATTTGGACTTTTCAGGAAACTATATCTGAGCTATCATGATTCTATCAGAATCATAAGAAATAACTCTGTTGTTTTAATCATAAATTTAAAATTGTCTTCAGTAAATAATTTAATTGAGACTGATTTCTGTTCTTCAATCTAATGCTTTTTTATCTTTTGCAAAGGGAAGAACAATGCCTTAGAAATTATGTGAAGACTATCTAATAAAGAATTTTTTTTTCTTTTTACTCAACACTATATAAAGGAGGACTAATAAAGAATATTCTTGAAAGCATAAATACACTGAAAGAATGACTGCCTTATTAAAAGACCATTTTATGAATTAAAAATGTCTAAATCTTATTTTAATGAGTTAAGGATTAAAGTGGTTCAAAATAATTTTAATATTTGGTGAGGGTTAGAAACCCCACTAGTTTAATGAGAAAAGAAAATAACAGTGCCTGCTCTGTCTCAGTTGTTTGCACATTACTTCATTTATTCCTCCCCAAAACCCGTCGAGGGGTATTGTCATCTATATATTACTGTTGAAAAAGAAAAAGAAAAAAATTCACAAAAGCTAAGCAGCTTGACTCAGATCACTGGTGGTAAGTGCCAGAGCAGGCCTTTTGAGCCCATAGCTGGTGTGCTTTGCAGAGGGTACATGCTGCTTTGCCCCCAGAAGGTAAACAGTTAACAGCATCAGCGACAGAGAGGCTGAGGAGGCACCTGCCTTAGCTGGACTCATGAAGGCAACAGGCTGCTCCCTAGTATCCCACCATTGTGGAGACTCAATTACTTTCTGCTTTTGCCCACCCTCCCCACGTCCATTCCTTACGTAAAAGCCATAGTGAGCTTTTATAAAAATAGTGGCTCCTCTACTTAAAACTTTGCAGTCATTTCACCGTGCACATATACTACACATGTACATAATATCCTGCCAGGCCTCACAGATCTCTCCCTGCCTGTCTCAGAGCAAGGCAAGTGTGCGCACAACTCCAGGGGGCGCCACCCACACAGTGGCAGCAGTACCTTCCAGTGCGATGTGATGGTACCGTCTCTGACTTCATCTCTTGCTATTTGCCCTCTTTCTCCCAAACACCAATCTCATTTCTGCTTAAACCCTTTTACTTGCTTTTCTCTTCACCCAGAGTGTTCTTCCCTATACCACAGGGTTGACTGCGTCCTATCATTTGGGTCTTACTACAAATGCCATCCCTTTGCAGGCAGGCCTTCCCCGACTTTCCAGTATAAATAAACCTACTAACTAGTAGCTTTAACATTATCCTGCCTTATGGTCCTTATAGCACTTCCATCATCAGAAATCATCTTAATTTCTATTACATTCCATGAGAGCAGAGACTTTACTGAATTTGTTCATTCATGATTGTATTCCTGATTAGTAGAATAATGCCTAGCAATATTCAATAATAAATATGCACTAAATAAGTGAATACTTTTGCTATTACTCATAAACTGCACTTATATTATGTCAAATTTTGGCCATAGCGTTTGCTTTTTCCATGGTTTCTACTGACAAATTTGACTTTTGTCCCACTACCAGTCTGAGGCTGTGCATTGTAGCTGCCAAGAAGAGGATCTGAACGTTGACCTTATTTTGCTGTCAGGGTTGGTTGGGCGGAGCTTCCAGGCAAGATTATCATAAACTCTTAGCCTGTGAGTCCAACTGTCTTTAGTTTGAGTGTCTGTCCTTGCTCCAGTCAACTGTGGCCACGTTATTGTGAAACACACATAGCATATTAAGTCTCTTAGGAGGAGCAATGACACTTTGCAAAGTAGTTTTGCAGTGAAGGACTAGGCTTAAGAGGAGGACATAATTAAAATTTGGTATTTGTACAAGAATAGACAGATTAATGGAACAATGGACCAAATAGTATTTAATAAGGCAGAAGTAGCATTTCAGAGGGAAAACAAATTATTGAAGAAATGGTGCTTGTTTGTTTAGTTAATTATTTGAATACAATTATGCCTGTCCCTGCCCCCCCAATCTCATGGAGACTATAAACACTTGAATATAAAAGTGCGGTCATCAAATATTAAGACATTGGTGGCTGTAATTTATTAGCTCAGAGGAACAAGAGATAGAATATATGTCTCTGCCTAGTTTACACAGGCCTTTAAGTTAAAAGAAATTTTGTGGTAACCTTGTGTTAAACAAGGTTTCTGCAGTAATATTCTTGACTTCTGACCTTGCTTCTTAATAAGATTGCTGCTTTTGCAGTGAATCTAAACTTTACTGTTTCAAACAATTTCGAATGTACTTACCGCTTAAGTGAAATGTGTATATGGCAAATTCATGAGCTGTAAAATATGTGAATACCAGGGAGATGTATTTAAGCCAAACAACTGCATGAGTATTAGTAACACATCTTCTGTTTGTGTGCACTTGGAGTATATTCAGTCATGCAGGTGTAGCTACATTCAGCGCCAGGATGATTTTCTTTGTGTTGGATCACTTCCTCCCTTGTCAGCTGAGTATGCACTTCTCAGCCAATTCTCTACACCCACTGCAACAAAGAGACAGGATCTGAGATCCTGTGACATCCTCTTCTACTTAAGCACTAAATCGCTTTGCCCTGTTGACTTCAGTAGCACACATGTGATGTTACTAAAATAAGAATGATATTCCTAGTGCTCAGTACCTTGACAGAATGTTACGGCTATTATTATGTTATATTGTGTTAACTAAGGACTTAACACAAATGAGGATTTCACATGATCTTGTCAGAGGCTGCAAAGGAACAAAAGTCTTGAAAGTATGAAAACAAGTATTTAAATAAAAATGGATAAAAAAATTACTGCCAGTATTCGATATATATGGAAATGAAAAAATATTTTCTAAGCAATCCCCAGCTCACAAAATGGTCATTTCAAAAGTTTGCAAGGGATTCAGGTGATTAGAACTGAGTATACCTGCAGTCACAAGGAGGCTTCAGTCTCAGGGAAGCCTTCACAAGCAAGCCTATGGTAACTCACTTCTTGAGGCTAGCCACCCACTCAGATTCTAGCAGCGGGGAATTTACAGAGGGGACTTGCTTTATCTAGCAAGCAAAAGTAGGTCAAGTTTCTTGGCTGTCTCACCTCTCTCCTGGCCTTTGCCTTCCTGACACCTCCATTTCTGCCTGGACTGCTCTGCTTTATCCTTCACAATGCTTCCTGAACCCCAGTTACCTACCTTTCTCCCCATCAACACCCGTCACCCGTGTAGCAGATCACACCACTATTCTTAGAAGACATATTTGCCTTTTTAAATGGGCTCCAGTACTGATATATCCTCCCAAGCTGATTATTTTGCTAACAGCCCTAAAAACAGTAAAGGCAAGGACTCTGTTGCTGTTTCAAGAGGAAGAATAACCACTTTTTAAACAATCTGTAAATGATGGGCTTCTATAAGATAATGGTGTGTTGGGGCTGGCTGGTTAACTCAGTGGTTAGAGAGTGGTGTTAAAACACCACCTGTCAAGGGTTTGGATCCTCCTACTGACCAGCTGCCAGAAAAATAAAAGATAACAGAACATCAAACCTGAAAGGTTGTTTAGATGCATGTAGATTGAGTATCCTCTGCCAACCCCTCATTCTTACAAGAAGAAAAGATCAAGGACTTGCAAAGAGCATACATGATTACTGAAAGGGGGAATCCCTTTTTGGTTTTTTTTTTTTTTTTTCTTCCTACTATTCATGTAGTGTTGCTTTGCCTCCCACAGATTTGTCACCCCTCTTCTCCTGGGTGATGGAGCTGCAAAGGATTACTCAAAGCCCATCTCTTCTGAGCAGTGAGAAGCCCCAAAGTGGTTAATTTCCCAGAATCTTCAAGAGGGAGGCATTCCTTCCATTTGGGAAATTAACCCCTAATTGGGGTTCTCTTCCCGCATTTATTCTCCAGCACAGGAAGGTACAGGAAGGGACATAGGTGGGGTTAAATAATATAGGCTGGTAGCTTCCAGTGAAATAAGTCAGATGACATTCCATTAAGGCAATCAAGTGATTCACCAACACAAGCTTGATCTTAGCAAACATTCCTTCTTGCAGCAATTTCCCAGTATCTTTACATATCAATCAGTAGTAACTTGTCTGTCTTTGAATCAGCAGCCATGCTGTGTTACAACTCTTTATCTTACAACAGAGACTCAATAGCCTGGGGAAATTTTCCTGTTTTTTGTAAAGTCAATATTTGAAACTGCAAGGCTTTGGAAAACCAAGCCCTGTGAAGTACACATGCTTTATGCATCCTCTACAATGTAGAGATTCATGAACATATAAAATTGTGTTATTACAGTAAGACTAAATAGTATATTTATTGACTTAGAGTTTACTTTGGAGAGAGGACAGAGAATGACAATTGGGATAGAAAACAAGAGAACTCTGAAACTGGGCAAGTTTCAGAGGCACAAGTTTGGGTTGATCACCTATGGAAAAATCCGCTGGTCTTAGACCTCTCCATCCATAGGACTCTTCTCCCTTTTCCCATCAAGACATTTGAATTAGTCAGAGCTAACCTGAGGATTCCCAGGGCTTCAAGTCCTACTCTAAAGTGAACTTACACTCTTGGGGATTTAAACCAAATCTGCCTTCTCAGAAACCCACCAAACTGGGGCCGGCCTGGTGGCGCACTGGATAAGTGCGCCGCTTGGGAAGCACGGTGGCGCTCCTGCCCGAGGGTTCGGATCCCACATACAGACCGGTTCCCGCTCACTGGCTGAGCGAGGTGCGGGAGCAACACCGAGGGTTGCGATCCCGTTGCCGGTCCCCGGTCCGGTACAGGGGCAACACTGAGGGTTGCGATCCGTTGCCGGACACGGAAAAAGACAAAAAAAAAAAAAGAAAGAAACCCACCAAACTGGGGGTGACCTCAGGGATGGACACACTGCCCAAGGTTGTTTCTGAGTCTGGGCAAGCTTATTTTCTCACTGCCCCCACCACCCTCTTCACCCCCCGCCAGTGTGAAGATCTGTACACCGTGGGCCTACTGTTGAGCTAAGTTGGTTTCTTGAGGAATCTTTAAGTCTACTTGTCCTTAAAGCACAATTTGCATTATGCTAACCAAATCCTAGTTATGTACCTAACTCCACAGTAAAATTCTCGTGGTTTTTTAGACATTTGCTGCTTAGCCATTTAAAAGGTCTCTGGGTTGGATTGTGAGCTGAGGCATCCTAGAGTGGCTTAAGGTACTAACACCTGGTTTTGTGTTTATAGTCTCTGGCTGATGAACTTGCTCTTGTGGATGTTTTAGAAGATAAGCTCAAAGGCGAAATGATGGATCTGCAGCACGGGAGCTTATTTCTTCAGACACCTAAAATTGTAGCAGATAAAGGTAACTTTATTTCATGTTTTGATTCAGAGTTGTATGATCTAATATTAAATTGTTTTTTTCTAAAACAAGAAAATAACATTTGGAATGCATCTTAGAGCCTAATGAACTTATTTTTAATTAGAAAAAGTGTAGGTTTTAGAACAGTTATTTCAGTAACTGTTAACAATATAACATTCATGATCTGGTTTGGTAATTTATTCAAATACTGCAAAATTTTCAAAATTGTAAAAATCCTCCTTTTTTCTCATCTTATAAAAGATTCTTATTTCTCTATATTCTACTTTTCACTTCTAATATATTTTATATTCATTTTTCAATGGACAATCACTGAAAATGTTAATCATAAATGATTATTGATATATCACTAAGAGAAAAATAAAAATTGTGATTTATAGCATTGTTTGGTTTGTTCTACCACCTTTTTCTCATAGGCCAATTTTCTTTCATAAATTTCTAGAGACCCTTGTACTGGACAGCCAACAAAAAGAAAAAATTTCTAGAGACCCACTTTCTAGCCATTTCTTACACAGATCTTCACAATTTGGACTCAACCTGTATTTTCACGTGTGTCAACATCCTCTTTTCCTCCCTCCTTCCCTGATATAAAATTAGTCTTCCTGTCCTGACGAATCTAGGGTTGGCAGTTTCTTCTTTTCTTCTTGGTCCAGTTCATCATCAAGGACCAACTTCCTTATCACTTCCATTAACGTTCTCCCACACACCTCCCAAGCATTCGATACATAACATTTAGGATATTGTATCATAATAAGTTGTTTATATGTATCTGAGAACAGGAATATTTTAGACCCCCAAAATATTTGTACATAGTAATTTGAGTGTCTTGAAGAAACTAAATAGTAGCTATTATTTATTGAATTAGTAACCTTCTGGGTACTGTGTGAAGCATTTTGCATGTATTATCTCATCTTACTTCATCTTCACAACAACCCTGTGAGGTGTGGGTACTATTATTACCTCCATTTTATGGGAGAGGAACCTGACAAAGTATTAATAACTGACAAAAGCCACATTGCAATACAATTTAATTATATGAATCATCCACAGCTATTGCATCTAATGATCATATCAAATAGTAAGTGTTGTATATGTTGAAAAAGGATACACTTCTTTGAGGGAAAAAAATACTTTTGAGAGTAAACTGCGCTGCTAAAAAGTGAATGATCTTCCTTAAAATACTGTGTTAGAAACCTAAGTTTTAGTTTCTAGCCGAAAACACTCAGCCTTCCCTCCCCTTCATAGATTTAATTGACATAATAAGACTAAAATTGATTTTTTGTTGTTGTTGTTAGAAGACTGACTATTAGACTTTGGACCAACTGTTCATGCTTAGTTTATTACTGACAATCGAATGAATTTGTTAGCCAGGACCATCATTTAGGGTTATCTTTATATTTTTGGTTCATTTTGT